CTGTATTCCGTTTTTTATAAGCAATTTCTGATAGTTCTGCTTTTGTAGGAAATATTCTAGTTCATCAAGACGCTTCTTCTTTAAATCTTGATTTGTTACAATTGCACAGATCCGTCTTGCCAGTGTGTAGGGAATGTTTGATTTTGTATGTCCAGGATGACATGAATGATAATCCAGATATTGGTGTGTGTCCGTTTGTTTGTAATGTATATCACTTTCTAACCGTTCCGCGTTCTTGTAGAGTAGTATATCCAGAAACGGTAGTTTCTTATTGTCATATTCCATCGTGAACTGTATTTTTGGATGAAGTGAATTTAACATTTTATGAAGTTCCTCGAGTTCTGCTTCTGTCTTCTGCCAGGGTAGAAAGCAGTCGTCTAAGAAACGTTTAAACAATTTCACGAAGTTTTCTTTTTCGTCCTGTCCATACTTTTCCTTGAATCTTTCGTACAGTTGTGTCTCAATGAAACCCATAGTTAATGTGGCGTACGTTGGTGCCATTTTAGTGCCCATTGCTGTTCCTTGTATTTGTTTATAATTAATGTCATCAAATTGAAATGTATTCTCCTTTAGGACAATTGAAATGGCCTCCAAAATAAATTCTTTAGGGAACGGTCGTGGCAATGATTCACGGTGTTTGTCCAACCAATGTTCGCTGGCTGTGAGTCCAAGATCATGTGGGATACTTGTATACAAGCTGATGACGTCGAATGATACCAATATCGTTTTCTCGTTTATATTTGTAGGTATTTTGTTCAGAAAATCCATACTGTCCCGTATAAAACTTGGTACATGTTGGCATAATGATTTTAAAATCAAATCGACAAAATTGCTTAGTCTATGTGTGGGCGATATAGGTCCAGCTACTATAGGTCTCATCTTTAAGTCCGCTGGTGGTTCCAGTTTGATATAATCATTGTTTTGGTCGGTGACAGCATCTGTTATGGTTTTTGATTTGTGTATTTTCGGTAATCCATAGAAATTTGATGTTTTCATTAGGAAGTTTGTGATGTACTCTTTCTCGTTCTCGTTCTCAGTAATGAAGTTTCCAAAGTTTTTAAGAAGTCTCTTAATCTTTCGTAAAATGGCTTCGTCCTCGTTTTGCGATAATTGTATGTAATTCTCTGTGTCGGAAAGGAGGTATAGCATTTTGTCTCTATAATAAGATTTGTCCATTACCACCGTTGCTCCCCCTTTATCTGCTTGTTTGATTATGATTGTGCTGTCGTTTTTAAGGTCTTGAAGAGCTTTCTGTTCTGCTGTAGATATGTTACATTTCCTAGTTTTCTTCTGGGATTGTTGTTCAAGTTTTGACAAGTCGCTAAGAAATAACGTGAGATGTTCGTCCTCTGATCTTGGTGGAACAAAATTAGATTTGTTTTTAGCAAGTGAATTGTCTATGTTCTGCTCTTTATCGTTAAAATATTCTGCTAGGCGTAATTTCCGACTGAATTCGTGGATATCCGCTTTCAGTTCTGTTGTATTTTGTGGTGGAGTTGGAGTGAATTTTAAACCTCGCTTAAGTAGCCGTATTTCATTTACCGTCAGATCTCTTGACGAAATGTTAATAATTTTTGGTTCTGTCAACGGTGGTTGGTCATGTGCGGTTGTCGTAGTCGTTCCCTGGGATGGTAGAGTGATCTCTCTGGAGGATATCTCTTGATGGGATGTTGTTCTAAAAAAGAAGTGTTCCTTGGGATTCTTTCGTAATCATCAACGATGTAGGTACTTCCTTGCTGTGGATTATATCTTGGAGGAATTCTCGCGACCTCAGCATATGTCATTTGGTGATGCAGTGACGACGAGGAATGATGATTGCGTGTGTTGTTGTGCTGGAATCGGTTTTGTCCTACTCTCTCCTTATTAATTGCGGTTACGTTGTATCTGGGTCGATTGTGGGCAAATTTTGCAGACTTTCTCTCATCGGGACGGTTGTTCTGGAATTGTTTGGGATTCATTCTCCTATGGTTTAGCTGTTTACTTATGCTTTGTAAATGCGTATTGTCGGTCATACCGCGTCGATCTTGTTGTCGCGAATCTCCCGTTGGTTTGCTCTCGTTGTACTTCCTTGGGGGTTTCAGGAAGCTCTCATGTTTAAATTCAGCTTCATACTTCTCGAGCCAAATTTGCTTGGATTCCCATTTCTTTAAGGATTTGGATTCTTCATGCGTAACATCTTCGTGCCATAGATTCTTCAATTCTGTAAGGGTATGACCAGTAAAACGGTCTTCAAGGAATTTTTTCATTTCTTCTTCCGTCTGCTTGCATTTTGATTTATGTCGTTCGGCTCGGACGTTCAGGAGAGCGATCTCGTTTCGGAAATTTTCGACGGCAGAATTTTGTCGTATTCTTGTTTCGTTGATATCCTCGTTCGCAATGGATTTGATAAGAAATTTTCTGGGCAATATTTTCTTTTCTTTGTTGATCCACGTTTCGTATATTAGTGCTGTATTTTCACTGTTCAAGCTGTGCCAGTACAGTTGCTTTCGTTTATTCAAATGATTATTCCAAATTCTAGATATCTTTTGGCGTTGATTTTTCACTTGATTTTCCATGTTTATATGGTTTGTTTTATCTAATGCATTTCCGATTTCGTTACTAATTGTATTCATCGATCTATTAAACTGTTCAAAACATTCGGATGTGTTTCTCTCTTCCTTATGCTGATGATCTACTATTTGCTGTAGAGATTCCCCAATGTTGTCAAGTTTCTTTGAAATGCATGTTAGGATATCTTTGATATCCGGATTTTCTTCTTCTTGTGTTCGGGTCGCTCTTCTAGTTGCCATTCTTGTATTTGTATAAATTGATAGTGAAATGTTGCTGATAACAAGATACAAGTGTTGTATATAGAAAAGGTTTCAATGTGCAACCAAAAGAGACATTTATAACGTAAAATAAAATAAAAGCCACTCAAATTTTGCACAAACGTTTTCGCTTTAATGTTAGCTCCTCAGGTGTAAATATGCACCTGAGGAGCTAACATTAGCCTAAAGCGAAAACGTTTGTGCAAAATTTGAGTGGCTTTTATTTTATTTTACGTTATAAATGTCTCTTTTGGTTGCACATTGCAACCTTTTCTATATATATATATATATATATATATATATATATATATATATATATATATATATATATATATATATATATATATATATATATATATATATAACAGCGGGACTTTTTTACATATACCTCTGTTAAACGTCTGTCGTAATTCTATCATTATTTTATACCATACAGTACAAATACAAGCCTTTCAAATGTGTTGGAACAGAATGCCCCAACTACCTATTATTTTTATAAACTTCCATTCCCCTCCCCCTTTTCAAAGTTAGGTCTCAGTAAGCTTCTTACTTGGTGTGTGATTCGATTGTTAACACTGAATGGGATGGGCAGATAGAGGGAGACATAAATGCCAGCAATTATTTGCATATATCCACAGATGGTCTAAAATCGCAAGTGTCCCAATAGCTTTTGAAAATTGTCGTAGCTATATAAATATTTTTATAATCACAATTTTAAAACGGGTTTATAGAATTTATTACCAGTGAAATGGATGGCAGTAGAATCTCTTACACAAGGAATATTTCGAACCTCTAGCGATGTGTAAGTAACATAAAAACATTCCAAATTTAAACTATATTGCTTAATTGTTATCATATGTAATTATGAAAGGAAAAATAACGTGCGGTGGCCTAGTAGAGTTTAAATTAAAAATTTCCTGATCGAGATATGGGTAAATAAGCCAACAACCATATTACTTGATTTTGTTCACACGATGAGACTTATGCCAGTTGAAGTATATTCGGTTTCAGTCTTAGGACTGGATCCAAATCAATTCAGTCCTTGGGCTGCATGGACTAAAATTTAATTCATCTCAGATATTAAATCCGACAATTCGGACTTTACCTGTATCCAGTCCTTGCAATTATGTGAGTCCTCGTCTCGAACTGAATTAATTGGGCGCACTGGATATCCTGAAAGCCCTCATTGTCGGATTTAAAATTCTGTTATTGCCAAATATTAAGAATGTTCTTTCATTCTGTTGGTTATAAATAAATATTGAATAAGTGATATTATATAGGTACACTATTTTTCGTCCACCAAAACTAACAATAATACATCACACTGTTAGTAGGCTATCTCTCAATCTTCTAGAGGGCAATCTTTATTGATAGAATCATAGAAACACCTTGACCAGTTCATTGTTGAACTAATATATAGTGACTGACCTTTCTTATGAAAACTGTATATAATATCCATAACTGATTATAATAGTGAAAATTTGATTTTTATTCTTCTCTCTTTTGCGAAGGTGGGCATTCGGTATTGTACTATGGGAAATAGCAACGCTAGGTAAGGCTCATTTACAATATTAAAATGTCTATCTAGGAGATTTCAAGTATATAAATCGATAATGGTAAGATCTTGTGGTTTTACGACAAGAATGTCAAGCACCAAAAAGCCAGTGATGTGCTAGTATTGATTGTTCAACTTTGTTTAGCAACCCACAGGTCTGTAGGACTTGACAGGAGTTTTGGTCGATTTTACCTTTGCTTGACCATATTCTTCCCATTTTAAGCATTAGGCAAACTTGATCTTTAATATTCTTCAATAAATGTTTCAGGAGAGGAACCGTACCCTGAAATTTCCCCTTTTGAAACCTTCACTCTTGTGGCCTCAGGGAAACGAATGGAAAGACCACCTCAATGTTCAGAAGAACTGTAAGTTGATTGCTGATGGTCCATATATTGTACGTTTTAAAATTAAACGATATCGATTATTATGAGGCCGTCATGGTGAAAATGGAAAAGCAATAAAAACGTTTTGGCTTGTTCTAACTTTTCCTCCATCTCTAACAATTCTTGGACAATGCATGTTAATTATGCATGTACTAGCTTTACCTGTAATTACAGGTTGTCTTTTTGTCTCCAATGTATTTGTAGGTATGAGCTGATGAAAAAATGTTGGGAACACGAACAAGAAAATAGGCCGTCTTTTCACGATATTCATGAACAATTGAAGGGAATGTTGGCAGAAACAGATCATGTAAGAAAATTATTATTAATTCAAAGTTATTTATCATTTTCATTTACTAGCTGGAACTACCGCACTTTCGGGAATTCCGGGTTACGTTTTAATGTATTTGTGCATTAGTGACTTGCAAAAATTTATTGAGATAACGAATAGTTTTGTATGTCCACCTAAAATTTCCGTGAACACCTGTCCTCCGCACTGAAACTATAAAAATCATAGTTTGTTGCATATCTATTACTTCACGAATATATTTTTGCGATATTGATTTGGCTTTCGCTTTGAACAAATTCAAAACATGGGTATATTTTCTCAATTTTAAACAACCTTGGTCTTCCTCTATAATTGCCGAAATAATCAAATTAATGTCAAATTAGGAATGTTAATTAAGCATGGTACTAAGACCGAAATCAACCAGGAGATTGACTTTCCTGCCGTGATTGTCAACAATAATGATAGTGAACTCTGTGACCATGCTATGGGTGGTACTGGTAAACAAATATGATGCAAGGGGTTTCAGGTTTATTGGTTTTCAATTTTACTTTTGGTATATAGGCTAATAATGTAATAAATTGGATGAAATTATGAGTATTAGGCTAAGTTTGAAACTCAGAGAGACAGAGCAATCATAGAAAGTTAGAAATGAACTATTATGAATATATTATAGTCTTTTACGACCTTTAATAAATTGAATTACTCAGCTTTTTAAATCTTCAGGGTAAACTTTTGCACTAGGTTTACCCTGGATTCCAAAGCCTTCGACAATAAATAATAAATTGAAATGTCGCGAAGGCTCTGGTTTAACGGGGCGATTCTTTGATTAAGCCGCGCCAATCACAAAACAGAATTAGTGGTTTTAGTACAGAATCTGTACTAAAACCACTAATTCTGTTTTGCGATTGGCGCGGCTTAATCAAAGAATTGCCCCGTTAAACCAGAGCCTTCGCGACATTTCAATTTATTATTTACTGTCGAAGGCTCTGGAATCCAGGGTACACTAGGTTTAGTTCCCAAATAAAACTTTTGCGTTCAAAAATTCTTAATTCAAAAACTTTCTATTCATGATGACAAAGTGCTGACAAAATATTGTGTATAGGTTATATGGAGAGAGCAAGAATGCCATTTTATTTACAAGATGCCATTTTATTTACAAGATTCTGTAGACCCTCAAGAAGTCGCGATCTTCCTATGTGGACCTGTGGAGGAAGCTGAATGCGCACGCGTAAAATACATTATTTTTAGTCACTGAGTCCCTTACGAAAAAATCCTATAGGATCCTATAGGAATAGAATTCCTATAGGAATTTCCTATAGCAATTCCTATAGGAATAGAATTCCTATAGGAATTTCCTATTGGAATTCCTATAGGATCCTATAGGAATAGATTTTCTATAGGAATATCCTATAGGAATAGAATTCCTATTGGAATTTCCGATAGGAATTCCTATAGGAATTTCTTATAGGAATTTCCTATAGGAATTTTCCTGTAGGAATTTCCTATAGGAATTCGTATATGATGTTATATAGAATATTAAGAATCCTATTGCTGCTATTATATGTTTTTACTCTGTTTTTTATAGCAAAATACAAAACAAGTGTAACTCCAAAGATCGATATCGATCTACATCGATATATATTGTTATCGATCTTTGGAGTTAAACTTGTTTTGTATTTTGCTAAAATACTCAGTGGTTATGTTTTTAGTATCAATGTGTTTAGCTAGCTAGGATTTCTATAATTCCTGATGGTCCCTAATGCAAGCATTCCTATTGGAATTTTATCCCTAATAAGAATATAAGATACAGCCAATAGTTCGCGCTTCAACTGGACGCCCTGGTGACTAGTTTACGTTTCAGAGCGCAAAGCTTCATGGGATAGCATCGTTTTAATTATTTGTGATAAAAAGTATTTGGTGTTATAATTTTGTGCTTGGAATATTTCGTTGTTATTTTTAACCCAAACAGTGGAAAAGGAATCGGAAAGTTCTTAACATGTTATTCAGATGTCACAGGTAAGAATACTTTTGTATTTGACTTATTATTTAAGCACTTTAATTGCAAAATAATGTGGTGAATATGATTGTTAACTTGAGCCATGTGGGCCATGTGTCTTAAAATTCCGTTGAATGTTTGAATTTGCCGCGTCAATTTGCATATAAAACATACAAAATGTTGGTTTCTGGCAGTAAAGAAAGAATGAAATATAGATTCGAACCTATTATTGTGAATTCTATACTAAATTTCACACTATTATTAACAATTTAGCAATATTTTCTTTGGCATAATTTGGCACTTTGCTTAAAGTTAAGACTATTGTAAAGCATTTTAATACTTCAATAAGCATTGGAATCAGAGAGGAACGACAGCATTAAATGTGCTATTTTTAGTGTATCGATAATCAATCTTTAGTGTCCTCTACTGTATTTGCATTACTCTGTCTAAATTGCATTGCAAGATGATTTTACTTGTCAAGGGGAGAGTCTTTTAATAGTGGGTTTATAAAGAGCTTCACTTGTATAAAGTGATGTTTGTAATGATAGTGCTGAGACAGTGCCCCAAATGTTGTCTTTGTATATATTTCAAGATTAGTATTTGAGCTGGGCAGTGCTTGTATGTAGCCCTGGCTCCAAATATTGTTTTCAACAATCAGCAAATATAACCAGATTCACTAACAATAGTCCATAGTTTATTTAATATGTGCTTTATCACTTTATATATCAAGCATAAATATCTGTGGCACGGCATTGATAGTTTTGGATGGCCTATATTTTGCCGGATGCCAGTAACCCAATCCAGCATATCCCTACTCTCTGCCCACGGCCATGTCTCTTCTTAACATACTATACATATTACAAGATATTATTTGCACTTCACTTGTTTGGACTAGAATACTGGGTTTGGTGGATAATCCAATATATATATATATATATATAGACACTATTTAATTAAGACCTATAACCAGGAACGATTGCGAAAAATGTAACACTAAATCGTCGACCAGGAATTGAACCTACAGCCCTGTGCTTCCGGGGCAGCGCTCTAACCAACTGAGTTCCAGAATCGCAGGGCCATAGGTTCGATTACTGCCAGAGGACTTAGTTTTCACTTGGATTATTCACCAAACCAAGTATGTAATATTACACCCTGCATTACCTTGTACCAATATGAACCTGTAGTCTTTGTGATTCATGGTGATTATGACAATAAACTATGGAAATTATCTTATATATAAAGGATAAATCTTATTATTTATTTAAAAAATTTCTGGTTTCTGATTGGCTAACAGCCAACTGTGAAATTGTCATATCAACTCAGTGGCTAACCAAATATGGATTTTTCAAAATGAAAAAATTTGGGACGTGTTTGCGACGAGAATCATATCGACTCGCTGACGCCATTGATATGATGACGATGACGGCTGCCGAAGGACTAACTAGGATTTTTTTTCTTAATACAAATAAAATACAAATGGGTTCCATTTGTTTTGATTTTTTTAATTAAATAAATAATAAAACAATTATTGAATTTGGTTTTTGCACAATATGAAGAATTATCAAGCCCTCAGTTTGCTGTAACAATTATCAACCTCAGCCTTTGGTTGATAACAGCAAACTTTGGGCTTGATAATTCTTCATGTCATGCTCAACCTCATTCAATAATTGTTAAATATTAATTAAAAACTGTTTTTACATCAAGAGTTAATAGTCCCTTATAACTGACTGAGGAGTGTCTCAGTTTAGGAAGCAAGTGCATTGTTCTAGTTTTTTTTATAGGGTATAATTTACTAATTATGATTATATTTTCAAATAAATAATGTTTTCCTTTTACAGATTCCAATATGATGGATCTCTGGTGGCATTTGCATGCTGTACTCGGAGCAGTATTAAATGTACATGAAGAAATCAATGGACTTGAACAAATGGTTTGTTCGATCATAATATTGATTGTGAAGTGGAAAGTGTTATAATACGGCATTGTGAGAAACTCTATTCGCCACAACACATTGCTGTGCAATCAGAACTAAACATAGTCATCTATAAGAATGACAGAAAATAAAACTTATGTAGTGCATACAGAATTTTCTATTTTTGAAATACATAATATAGGTAATATAATATAGTACAATTTTATGTCTAAAAATTTTCTAAAAGTAAGAAAATATAAGAAACATTTCTTAAACTGAGAACAATGAAAAATGTCATAAGTTAAAAAGATAAATAGCCTAAATTAGTATGTTATATGTAAATATAGCCTGTTATATTTGCCACATTTTTATCTGTAATAAATTTTTTTCACTAGTTTCTCTTTTTCCTTCACCTTGGTAAATAACTCTTTTAGGCAGTTTGATTTAGAGGATTATGCAAGAATTTCTATATGATATATAAGATATCTATGGATCAAATATGAATTTCTATGTAAATCTAAG